GGATAAACAGCGGCTGGTGAGGCCTCGTCTTCTTCCTCATGTCCACTATCATCTCCTTTGTTTTATCAGTGTTGAGGGTGAGGTTGTCCTCACACCATGACAGACCGGCCACCTCTCTCCTATAAGCCGCCTCGTCCCCACCAGTGATGCGACCGATCACTGCAGTGTCATCTGCAAACTTCAGTATGATGCACAGGGTGTAGAGGGTGGGGCTGAGGACGCAACCCTGTGGAAGTGTTTGTGGTAATGCTGGCTGAAGTCCTGTTGCGATCCTGACACTGTTCTGTAGCCGGTCACAGAGGGTGGAGCGCAGCGTGAAAAGTAAATGAATGTGAAGGTTTTCAGTCATGCAGGTCATCGTAGTCTAAGGAGCTCCTTAGAAAAGTAAATGAACTTTATTTCAGTGATTTTTCAGCTGAAATCAGTTTTTACAGGAACAGAAAAAATGAGACGATGTTTCAATCATAGAAAACTTTTATTGAGCAACAATGAAATCAATCACACGTCTGAGCTTCTCGTCAGCGACACAGAACGCACACCTTCACTTAAAGGCACCGTGTGACGGCGTCACAGAGCAGCAGCGTGCCTTTGAGAACAGGTAAAACAGCGCCCCCTACAGTCAGTCACAGCACTGTCAGGCACTTTAACGCGACAGGTCGGCAGGAAGCGAACGCACAGGTGCAGCCGGCGATCTGACTCTGGTTTGTGTTTGATGACAGGAGATTAAACAGATCTGGGCTTTAATGAGACGTTTCTCTGATTGTTTAGAAAAAACATTTGATCAGGAATTAAAACATCTTTAGTTTCATTTCTGTTTGGTGATGTTTATATTTCGTGTCCAGTGTAGTGACAGGTCGCCCGACAAAGACTCAGAATAAAAGTTCCCTCCAGCCTGCAGTCACCTGCTGTGCCGGGGTGGCAGACATCTTTGCTTCTCCTGAACGTTTAAAAACCTCAGCAGCTCCAGACTTGCAGACAAATATCAGACTGCATGATTACAGATTACTCATTAAACCGAACAGTGACCGGGTCGAGATTTCTAAAGGTTTTTTTAATGGATTTTTGGTACTTGGAGCGTCACTGCGGTCATGGTGAAGAAGACAAACCTCTAAAAAAATATATACATAAATAAAAACTCTCACACTTTGCTCTGAGACAGGCTGGAGGACACGTTGCATCACTGGGGCGAAACGTCCCTTTAAACAGCCGCACGCGAGCCCGTTTTCACTGTTACGATACGATTTTAGTTGCTGTGGTCAGAAAGTTTATGAATAATTAAAATGAAGCCTCAGCTGATACTCAACAACAAACTAGCAGGCTCCTCCCACACGCCACCGCCGTCCACGACCTCTCGGCTGTTCGTCTGTTGATTTTGGCACAAAGTAGAAACATCAGCTGAGAGCTGCAGAGGTCCTGCTCTAATGTCATTAGTCTGTTTGGTTCGAACAGGAAGTGTCAGACAGCAGGCAGGAAGTCTCCGTCTGGCACGTTAAGGCGCTAAGTTGACACCTCCATGACTTCAGCGTCAGGTGGAGAGGAGAGGACCGGGCCTCGGGTCACATCTGGTTCTTAAGACAGTTTGCAAACAAACGAACAGAAACGAAGCGCCGACTTGAGACGTGGACGCCGCCACCCTCGTCTCTCCAGATAACAGGAAACAGCTGAGACAGAACGTTGACCCAGTTTCAGCTCGTGCACGCAGGCAGAAACGAGAGGGTGTGAGGAACATCCCAGCCTGTGGACGTTTATCTAAAACATTCATTAACGGTGTGATCTGAGCCCACGCTAACGGACGAGGTTCAACACTGTCAGAACAAAATACGTTTATCTAAGACGTGTTTAAAAGCGCTGCTCACGTCCTTCAATCAGGAAACGGTTTAAAAGGCATCACATCAGAAACTCATCGACCGCATCAGCACACAAAAGCCAACACCAAAGGACCACCAGCTAACCGTGATGCGCTCTTATTTTGAAAGCTGAGTCCGTACCAACTAGCTAGGCCTGTCACTTCCTGTCTTGCTGTTGTGGTCGTTTTCGACTTCTTTCAGCTGCTTCTCCAGAGACGATCTCGCCCCACAGCTGCACTCCACCTCCTCCATCATGGACCGCAGGTGCCTGTTCTTCCCTCAGGCTCCTCTGAGGGGAAGCTGGGTGGGGGGTGAGTCACCTGTGCACACCTGCAGCAGGTGGAGAGTGGGAGTCTGTCCATGAGATAAGAGCTCACTGGAGAGGCAGCTGATTACTACATGTTTCATAAAAGGACATCGAGATCGGTTTGTGTCACGCTGCGTTCGGATCAATCAGGATTTTTAGAAACTTTCTCTGCTACAAACTCAAACTGCAAATGTTCTGTTATAAAAATATTCCACTGGAACCTTTGAAAACGTCAGGGGGACAATTACAGTCCCTTTAAGACAGCGGCTCCGGAGGCGTTCCCATGTACACCGCCCAAAGCACCAAAGAGCTCAGATTCACGTAGACGACCAGCGAGTCGACGGCGAGAAACCGGAGACGCTATCAGAGTTTGAAAAGCAGAAAACTGACATTGAAGTTGGAGAAATGGTGGAAAAGCTGAAGTGCCGGTGAAATCCTGCTCAAAGTGTGACGCCGGCAGTTCGTTTACAGTTAAACACGCCCCTCAAAAGCCGTCCAGCTCCATAAACGCCTCTTCACAGCCTCATCCTTACAGAAGCTACAGAGAAAAGCACAGTGGTGGCAGGTCTCCTCCTCCTCAGGGTTTCACACCTTCAGCGAGACGAGAAGCAGCTGGAGCCGTAGAGTCACCGCCGCCGGGCCGAGGTCACCGTGACGAGCTCCTCTCCTTGCTGACGCAGTCATCCTGGCTGCTCGTGTCTCCGTTGGCCGCCGTGCCACAGGTGCGTCTCTTCTTCCTTCGGTGAGACATGGCGTCGCCCTCAGAGCCCGACCCCGCCTGTGGGAGGAGACAGAGTGCACATGCTCAGACGGGTTCCACAGTGGCGACAAACTACAAGTACGAGTTTTTAACGTTTTCCAGAGGAAGTTTGTGCGTTTCCTGTTAGTCTGACGTTCACCTTTTATAAAAATGGAGTATTTGTCAGGGACAACTTTAAGGCGTGCGTGCACTCCCACAGACGCACCTCGTCACCGCATCAGTAAGAACCCTGCTGCCAGCTCAGGTGTGATGTGACAGCTGGGATCAATATAAGCCAGGACTGTACCTGAGCGATCACACTTTATATCCTGCAGCCAGGTGCCGGATCTCATTTCGGCGTTCACCTACGTCTGCTGCTGCGAATATTTAAAAACACTCTGCAGGACGACCGCCCTCAGTGATTTGGATTTTCCTCCTTGGTCTAAAACTTAAACGCTTCACATAAACGTGGAAGATGAGGAGTGATATCGTTTCACAGGTGTTTCAGAACAACATCTGGAGCAAAAGTACTGTTGGACGCTTTGTCTCTTACAGTAATCATTATCTTCTTCTAAACAGCTTCCAAGACCACCACTCCCCCTGCTGGTGGTGGTGAGTATTACATACAATAAACAGGAGAACACGTGTTAGCATAAATGTAGCTTCATAATTGTTTTTAGAATTTATGAGATTATAAACTAAGGAGCACTCGTCTGCCCAGCTGGTGATGCAGCTGTGAGAAACGATGAGGCCACACGCAGCCCAGCCTGGAGTCTCTACAGGTTTGTCTACAATTCTGTGCAAAAGCCTCAGACTCTTCTCTGAAGGTCTTTGGCCACTTTTTCACTCATTTTCAGTCCAGTCGTTGTACCTGAGCATTTTCAGAAGATTGTTTGTTTGTAAAGCCTCCGAACTCGAGAATGAACCAGAGCCGAGTCTACACATAACAGACAGAACCAGTTTGATAGACAAAAAGGCAGAAACGTCCGAAGAAGAGCTTGGAATAATCTGGAGAACTATTCCCGAAGATCCTTACAGAGATGAGAGTTCAGACCGAGCTGACGGTCAAATATTCAAAGCTCATCAGAACTACACACTCTGTATTGTGTTTACTGCATTTCCATGTTTCAGTAACTCGCTGCACATTTTCCTAACAAAATGTGTAAAGAACTGAGGTCCAAGACTTCTGCACAGCACTGCACAGACATCTCTGTACACCTTCATATACACCTCCACTGCCTCCATCACAGGAAGTGTGTGTGTGTGTCAGCACATACGTCAGAGTCTGAGTCGGACGAGCTGGAGGACGAGGACGAGGATGAGTCACTGGAGCTGTCCGATGCGATGCCCGTGGACTCCTGCAGGTCCACTTTGTCTGCCAGCGCCGCCAGGTCGGGCCGCTCCTGCTTCAGGATCCTGAAACAACAAAAGCAGCCACCGTTAGCGCAGCCTGCGAGAAGTCCTCACTCCACCAGCTACAGTTCACAGTCTAGTCCACCCTAAAACTCAGACTGGGACCACAAAGAGATAATTCACATCTAAAGATGTCGTCCTCCTCCTGACCCGTCCTTACCGGTACCACTTCCTGGAGAGTTTGGGACGTCCTCGAACCGTTTTGTGCCACACGATGGGGAAGTTAACTGAGCTGGCAAAGTTCTGAGTGACGGCGATTGTCGTGTCCAGGTTGAGGACCACGTGCCACCATCCACCTACAGAAAGACGAAAAAATGGTTCAACACCAAAAAGCAAAAAGATCTGAACAACCCGAACGTGGCTCTGCTCGATATCAGCTGCCCCACTGGGACATCGACCTGTTTCCACAGAAGTCCGACTGTCTTACAAACCAGAATCGATGACATTACCGACGTAGCCGTTAAATGCACTGGGTGTCGGTTCGGCTCATCAGGTAGAGCAGGCGAGTTTGCCTGACGTCACTGCAAACACACTACACTCGAGCTGAGCTTCCACCTTTCTGCTCATCTCCGTCTCATTAAATTCAGTGTTTGGCACTTTGGTGAGGTGACACAACGGTCAGTGGGGACCTTTCAGGGCGATGTGGGCGCTAACAGACAGCGCCTCCCTCCTGTCTCTGTGCTGTCTGTAGGACTAAAACCTGGAGCGGTGCCCAAGGAGCAGCTGAGGGTTTAATCCATGCTCATCACCATCAGCTCTGTCGGCATTACGTGAATGTAGGTCAGTGCGTTCTGAAAGGTCGGCGCCGCTGTCGGGTCACGGCTGGGTCAGCGAGCATTCCCACTCATCCACTGTAAACACTGAACACCAGCCTAGAGCCACTGACCGTCAGTGACATCACTGTCATCAGCACATGCGAGTTCCTGGATGGAGCTGAAAGGCTGACAGTGCTCAAAACACGAAGCTTAGCTGCCCGACCAGTGCCTGTGCAAAATACAACAGCTGTGGATGAACGACATTTTATTCACCTTGATCTGCTGTGTCCGTTTGAGCGACTGTTCCATGTACAAGTTTTTCTTTCCCACGGTCACCAAAGTGAGGGTTTCTCTGAATTACTGTCGTCCTTCACCTGTGCCTGTAAAGCACCTGACTGTTCTTATGATTTGGTGCTACAGTACAAAAACACTGAATTAAAACAAAGACCCCCACATACTCATATACAGGTCATTTAACTGTAATAAGGATAAACATGACTCACATGCATACAGATTAAAAGATGGATTGAATAATGAAGCCAGTATGGAAGCGAATTCTTTTTAATGGAGGAAGCAAAACCCTGACGAGACGTCAGAAGTGCTAAACAAAAACCAATCAGGTGCTCTGAACGTGTTCGAGTCAGTTTTACTTATAAAGCATCAAATCACAAGAACAGTCACCTCAAGGTGCTTTATATCATATCCAGCGGGATGCAAAAGTTTGGGCAGCCTTGTTCATAGTCATTATTTTCCTGTATAAATCGTTGGTACAATAAAAACTGTCAGTTAAATATATCATAGACACACAGTGATATTTGAGAAGTGAAATGAAGTTTATTGGATTCACAGAAAGTGTGCAGTAAGTGTTTAAACAAAATCAGGCAGGTGCATAAGTTTGGGCACTGTTGTCATTTTATTGATTCCAAACCTTTAGGACTGATTATTGGAACTCAAATTGGCTCGGTAAGCTCAGTGACCCCTGACCTACATGCACAGGTGAATCCAATAATGAGAAAGAGTATTTAAGGGGGTCAATTGTAATTTCCCTCTTTTAATTTCCTCTGAAGTGTAGCAATTGACAGAACAACTGTCAAATGACCTGAAGACAAAGATTGTTCAGCATCATGGTGGGAAGGACACAGAAAGCTGTCTCAGAGATTCAAGCCGTCTGTCTCCACAGTTAGGAACATATCGAGACAATGGAAGACCACAGGCTTAGCTCAAGTTAAGGCTGGAAGTGACAGACCAAGAAACATCTCAGATAGACAGAAGCGACGGTGAGAACAGTCAGAGTCGACCCAAAGACCTGCAACATCATGTTGCAGCAGATGGAGTCGCTGTGCATCGTTCTAACATTCGGCGCACTTTACACAAGGAGATGCTGCATGTGAGAGTGATGCAGAGGAAGCCTTTGCTCCGCCCACAGCACAAACAGAGCCGCTTGAGGTTTGCTGAAGCACATTTGGACAAACCAGCTTCATTCTGGAATAAGCTGCTGTGGACTGATGAAACTACAACTGAGTTATTTGGGCATAACAAGCGGCGTTATGCACGGAGGAAACAGAACACAGCAGTCCAAGAACAACACCTGCTGCCTCCAGTAAAATACGGTGGTGGCTCCATCATGCTGTGGGGCTGTGTGGCCAGTGCAGGGACACATGGATTTCACTCAGTATCAGCAGATCCTGGAGACCAATGTCCAGGAATCAGTGACAAAGCTGAAGCTGCGC